ATGATCTCATGAGGTCCCTTCCAGTCCTAATGTCTATGAGATTTAAGAAATCTAAGAGTATTGGTGGCAGGTCAAGGGAAGTGATTATTCCCCTCTATTCAGCACTGGGGAGGCCACATCTAGAGTCCTGTGTCCAGTTTTGGACTCACTACAGAAAGGATGTGGACACATAAGAAAGTATCCAGTAGAGGGCAACAAAAATGGTAAGGGGGCTGGAGGACATGTCTTATGAGGAGAAGCTGAGGGAACTGGGCTTATTTAGTCTGGAGAAGACTGAGAGGGGATTTAATAGCAGCCTTTGACTACCTGAAGGAGGGTTCAAAAGAGGATGGAGCTGGACTGTTCTCAGTGGTGGCAGATGAAAGAACAAGGAGCAATGAGCTCAAGTTGCAGCAAGGGAAGTTTAGGGTTGATATTAGGAAGAATGTTCTCACTAGGAGGGTGGTGAAACACTGAAGCAGGTTACCCAGAGAGGTCGTGGACTGGAGATTTTTAAGATGTGGCTAGACAAAACTTTGGCTGGGATGATCTAGTTGGGTATGGTCCTGCATTGAGCAGGGGGTTGGACTAAATGTGAACCTCCAGAGGTCTCTTCCGGCCCTCATTTTCTATGATTGTGTTTGGTTCCTGACTTTCTCAGTATTTAAATTGTAAATGAGCTTTTGATGACTTTTTTCCCTCCTCTTTTTCCCTTTCAGGAACAGATGGATAAAAGATTGAATGTGGCAACAAATCTTAACCAGGACATAGGCCATCTCAAGAAGCTGCTAGTGTCAGTAAGCCAAATGCTCTCCAAGGGAAGAGAACACTATCAGCTAGTAGGTATGAAATGGCGTCTTAGCTGTAAGTGATGGGTTGCTGTCTGATGTCAGCATCCTCCGACTTGACACATCAGTGGGAATCCCATTTGGTTTTAACCAGTCAGGAATCTGATAAATTTAATATTTCACAAAGGAACTCAATCAGGCTGCCGCCTCCTCCATCCATTCAGCCTGCACTAATCTCCCACTTCTCTGTTCCTTCAGTTGAGCCCAAGGGCTTGTACTCTGGTTACAGATCTTCATACCTCTGTTCTGGCACTTCCCAGCTTGTCTCTGTTCTTGTCTCTTCCATGTGACAGTCTTCCTGGTCTGGATAACTCCCCTTATACCTGAGGCAGTGCCATGTTTCCCTTTGCCAGTTTTTAGGGAAAAGTTATACATTCAGATCTTCCATTGGAATGGGGCAGACAACTGCTAGGCAATCCCTGAGCATGCAGGGAGAGCTGCGGCAGTTGCCATAATACAGATCTCTTAAGGTCTCATTTGGAGGCACTAAGGACAGGCAGATCTTGGGGGTGGGGGGGGGTAGGAAGGGGTAAACTCCTTTAAAAGGG